CCGCCGCCATAGCCGCCACCAACACCACCGCCATAACCACCGCCAACACCACCTTCAGAAATTACTTTGATGACAGAGACACCTCCGGCATGACCGCCTCCATGGCCACCGCCATAACCGTGGCCGCTGGCATAACCACCGCCATAGCCACCACCATAGCCGCCTCCAACGCCACCACCATAGCCGCCTCCAACTCCTCCAGCACCGCCTCCGAACAGGAAGCCGGCATTAGCGACGGCACAAATGGCCATAAGACAAACGAAAACCTGTCAATAAAGACACAATTTTGTTAAAAAAAAAACTATTTTTACCACTTCAAAGGAAATTACGGAAAAAAACTTGTGCCTATAATCCACAGTGCTAGGCTGGCAAGTTTTCCCATCCAAAATAAATCCTTCTACTATACACACCTTCATGTTAGTTGCTGTATCAATTGAATTTCTACGTTCAAAATCCAATGACTTCCAAATGGAGATTGATAACTAGCATTTAGTTTTGGCATCTTTTTATATCGAAAACTTAGAAGATAATTCGGCTAGCAATTTGAAAAAGTGTATCATAAAAGAGAATTAATAAATGCATGCATGTGTTGCAAAAACGTGCCATAGTTAAAGAGTCGGACAGACAGACTAACTGACAAAAAACGCATCACATCAAAGTCAAATCAAAGGCGTTCGCTATCATTTTTGAATACAACCGCAAAACATTATCTAAACTAATCTTTTGTTAATGTTTTATCTGAACTTAATTCAAATGGATTTTGAACAAACCTAAAAAATAATAAAAATAAATAAAAACAGCAAACTACTCTAACTTGTTCGAATATATCATTCAGTGATTGCATTGTTCGAAATATGCATTTCATTTTTGCGTTGACAAAAAGTTGGGTTGGTTTCGGTAAAACACACGAAACATTGTCTGGTTATGTTGTTGGTCTTCTTCATTGTGAGCTCTACTGAGATGTTCTACAAGAAATGGAAACTTTTTCATATTGAATCACAAACTTGAAGTAACTACAATTCATAAGAAAGTTGTTTGTTCTTAGTATTTGCATAAGTTCCGAAATTTGAATAATAATATAACCAGATGAACCACATCCGTACTAAACGTGAATTGTCGCAGTCAAAAAAAAAAAAAAAATATTTCTATTATGGAATTTTTTAAATATTTTTCATAGGATTATTTGGTTTGGTTTGGTGCAACATTCACCCGAAATCGGAAAATATATGGGAGCTATATCTATATCTGAACCAATTTCATTCAAATTACCAGACGTTATTGCAGACCAATTTCGATAAAGTGTTTTGTCAATCCGTCACACTGTAACACTTTGGTGCACCATTTGCTAAAAATCGGACGAAAATATATATGAGAACTATATCTGAATCTCAACCGATTTCAATAAAACTTGACACAAAAGGAAACGAGATGAATACACTGTTCCTTTTGATAATATGTCGCATTAATGATCTGAATTGGATGACATTTGACACAGCTCATTTATTTGCACAAACCCTATTGAAATTGGGGAAAATCGGTTCCGATTTAGATATAGCTCCCATATATGTTTTCGTCCGATTTTATGTAAATGGTGCACCAAAGTCCCTATATATCCTTCGATTTGCACGAAATTTCCTGAAAACCGGTTGAGATTTAGAATAGCTCCCATATATATTTTCGTCCGATTATAGTTAAATAGTGCACCAAATTTAACGACGTGTGTTAAATTTCCTGAGAACTGGTTCAGATCTACATATAGCTCCCATATATATTTTCGTCCGATTGAATGTAATTGGTGCACCAAAGTCCCTATATATCCTTCGATTTGCACGAAATTTGGCATAGCATTCTGAATTAAGCCTAGAACGATGTGTGTTAAATTTCCTGAAAATCGGTTCAGCTTAAGTGTAGCTCCCATATATATATTTTCGTCCGATTTTATATAAATGGTGCACCAAAGTCCCTATACATCCTTCGATTTGCACGAAATTTGGCACAGCATACTGAATTAAGCCTAGAACGAAGTGTGTTAAATTTCCTGAAAATCGGTTCAGATTTAGATATGGCTCCCATATATATTTTCGTCCGATTTTAGGTAAATAGTGCACCAAAGTCCCTATATATCCTTCGATTTGCACGACATTTGGCACAGCGTACTGAAGTAAGCCTAGAATGATGTGTGTTAAGTTTCGTGAAAATAGGTTCAGATTTATATATAGCTCCCATATATATTCGTCGGATTTTATGTAAATCGTGCACCAAAGTCCCTATATATCTTTCGACGTGCATGAAATTTTGCACACTGTACTGCATTGAGTTAGAATGTTGTGTGTTCAGTTTCAAGGAAATCGGTTCAGATGTAGATATAGCTCCCATATACTTTTTTTCGTACAATGTAAATTATGCACTAAGGACTCAAAAATTCGCCGATTAGCACACAATTTTGAACAATGTTCTGAAGGTAGTATAACCTTACCAGTGTCAAGTTTTCTTGAAATCTTTTCAGATTTACATATAGCTCCTATATATATTTTCGTCCGATTTTAAGTAAATGATGCTCTAAAACCTATAACTATAGGCCTTTAGTGCACCATCTATCGGCCCGGCAGGTAGACACTCTGTACTGAAGATAAAATAAATTAATCGGTTCAGATTTAGATATAGATTAGCTTTCCCAAATCTCGCTATTATCGCATTTTGGGAACGTTTTTTAACCATTGAATATTTCCATATGTTCCGGTTATTTACCGGTAATGAATGTGTATTCAGTGTTTTAATATTTTTAAAATTCATAGTACAAATTATTCCAAAATATTTTGAATATTGTTCTGATTAAATTAAATCATTTCTATATTTGGCATATTCCAAATTTAATATTTGATCAACACGAACTATAATTATGTTTACTAAATGCAGGCCATTATTTGGGATTTCATTCTGTTAAAAAAAAACTATGCTTGTGGAATTAAATTTTAGTAAACAATAATGAATAAAAATAATAAACAGATTTTTAAAAAACACCAACAAATGTAAATAGGTCGCGGTATAGCAAATTTGAAGTACTTTAAATACATATGTATTTGCAAAGTGCTTCGCTGGCCTTTAAACGCAAATTATAATGACAGCAAAGCCACACACAAAAACCTGTTCTCATTGTACTTCGTCATTGTGCTGCTGAAGTGTCGCACTTTTGTCTAGCCCATAAAATGTTACCGGTTGTTGATTGAAGATTTCTGCTCGAAAACACCACTTGATTTGAATTCGAAACTGCATTTTAGTGTATTAATTTGTGTTTTGTTTTTCTTTTTTATAATTTTCTCAACATCTATAGTTTCATTAATTATTTATTTTTATGTTTCGGATTTTGTGTTGTTATTGTGGAGATTTTAGTATTGTATCGGTTAATAATAGCTCTATAATGCCGGAGGCTATTTTAGCTTGAGTGAGCGTTATAAGATATTTAATCACATCAATCAGTTGGTGGTCAAAAAACATCAAATTGCCGCTGAAGATGAATATCCCAAGAAAAGACAAAAAGAAAAAAACTCCATAAATACAAAACAAAGACCAAACTTAACAAATCTTCAAAATCAATATGAAAACGTATTTTATTTTTCTGCATAATTAAGGTACATGGGTGTTTCCGATTGCATATATGTATCTATGTACCCGTGTACGTTTGCGATTTTAAATTCACATTAAATATGCATACATGTGCGCTCCATCGGCAAGGTAACATCTGAAGAGTTTTCAAACGCTAATAGATTAATTACTTAATTATTTATCGGTTGATCGTTGACAAAGTAACACATCTGCGGGAAAATAATAAAATTGCAGTACAATTCTTTCCGTCTTAATTTTAGATCAAATCGTTAAACGGAAATATATTCCCAAGTATAAAGAGTTTTCAAATCATCCGTCCTATGTCGATTTAAATAAAAGTAGACACGTGTAATTCCAGTATCAATTAAAAAGTATATGTAAAATATCGCGAAGACGTAGGCCATTTATCATTACATGAAATCGGATGAAATTATATATGGAAGTTAGTGAAAATCTGAACCGAGATAAATATACATGAGAAACACCATTATAGACTTGATTCGAAAGTTTTTGTTACATTTTGTGAGTTATTTGGAACATTATTTTCATTAAATTGGACCAAAATATACTCATATATAAGGGTCCTATATATGGAGGTAACACATGTAAACGATCGTGTCAAGTGGATATACTAAATATTTTTATACCCTTCACCACACTGTGATACAGGGTATTATGTATTATGTATGTTTGAAACGGGCAAAAGGAATCGACATAGACCCATGGTTCCTTTTGAGAATATGCATAGAAACAAAGTGCAGGTCGCATTTATGATCCGATTTGGATGAAATCTGGCACAGTTCACTAATCTTTATCCAAGGTCGAACCCTATTGTAATTGTAGAAATCGGTTCAGATTTAGATATAACTTCCATATATATAGTTTCGTTCGATTTTTTGTGAATGATACACTATTTCGATTGGGACAAAATTTTGCACAGAGTACTGAAATAGGCCTAGATTGATACTGGCCAAGTTTTTTTGAAATTGGTTCAGATTTAGATATAGCTCCGATATATATTTTTGTCCGATTTTATGTGAATGATGCACCAAACTCCCAATCTTTGTCCGATTTTGACAAAATTTTATACAGAGTACTGAATTAGGTCCAGACTGATGTCTGCGAAGTTTTGTTAAAATGGGTTTAGATTTAGATATAGCTCCCATATATAGATTCATCCGATTTTAAGTAAAGGGAGCACCATACTGCCAATATTTATCCGATTGAGACTGCACAGAGTATTGACTTAGGCCATGATTGATGTGTGTCAAGTTTTGTGGGAACCGGATCAGATATAGATAGGGCTCCCAAATATAGTTTCCTCCGATTTTATGTAAATGGAGCACCAAGAGTTAAATTTAGGCCGATTAGCACAAAATTTTCAACAGAGTACTGAGGTAAGTCCGAATTTATGAATGTGAAGTCTTGTTGAAATCTGTTCAGATTTAGATATAGTTGCCATATATAGTTTTCTCCGTTTTTATGTAAATGGTGCACCATACTATAGATGTTTTTCCGATTGAGACAAAATTTTGCACAGAGTATTGAATTAGGTCTAGTTTGATGTCTGCGAAGATTTGTTAAAATCTGTTCGGCTTTAGATATAGCTCCCATAGCACTCTGTACACCGAACAACACATGTTACTCGCCTAGGCCAATGACATCGATATAATGGGTCGAACATTGCGAGCGGTAACAGCCACCTTTGAACAAATTGAAAAGGAGTCTGCCAAAATGGGTCTGGCAGTAAACGGCGAGAAGACCAAGCTGATGGTATCAACTCGCAAGACGTCCAGTAGATTTGGACTAACTGTGGAACTTGAGAACTACAGCTTGGAGGTAGTTAAAGAGTTTATATACCTTGGTACCGACATCAACTTTGAAATTCGGAGAAGGATTGTGATGGCCAACCGATGCTACTATGGTCTGAGCAAACAACTCAAAAGCAAGGCCACTACCCGTGATATTATATGGATCAGAAGCATGGGTACTTGCACAAGCAGATGAGGCAGCTCTTGGGGTGTTTGAAAGAAAAATTCTCCGAAAGATCTACGGGCCGATCTGCGTCGACGGTGAATATCGGCGTCGAATCAACCACGAGCTCTACAATTTATACGCGGTCATCGACATAGTCAGTCGTATTGAGCTGCAGCGACTACGGTGGCTAGGCCATGAATGAGAATGCCCCAGCTCAAAAGGCATATAAAAACGAGCCTACTGATTGTTCCCGTAGAAGGGGAAGGCCACGAAGGAAAGATCAAGTAGAAAAAAACATCTTGGAACGTGGTCTTCCAAACTGGTGGATTTGTGCACAAGACCGACGCGCTTGGAAATCTTTTTTAAGCTCGGCTTATGGAAACACCGTTCTGTAACAAGCCAGCTAGAAAACAAATGGTATATGCAACGGTAGCTGAATTAGGTCCATGTGTTTATATATAGCTCCCATACGTAATTTTACTCGATTTCATACAAATGGTACACCAAAGAATCCAAGTCTGCCCGTTTGACATGCAATTTTTCTTTGATTTCAGAATGGTATGTGTATGGGATTTTTTCAATTGGTTCAAATATATATGTAGATAGCACATGTAATTTCTCCCGATTGCATCTCAATGGTCCTCCAAAGATTTGATATCTGTTCTATCTATAGGATATTTTAGATATTCACATCTCTTGTATGTACCCAAAGCGGTGAAGGGTATCATATAGTCGGCCCGGCCCGACTTTTAAACTTTCCTTACTGGTTATTTACTTGGTTGTTATATATAAATCTTAACAATTTCAATAGGGTTCGTCAATTAAATATCCCGTGTAAAATTGTATCACCATTGAATACTAAATGGTGTGAAATAATTATTTCCGATCCTAGTATATATGTATCAGCGTAATATTCTATGGCGATATAAGCATGTCTGTATATCTGTTGTAGTCACTCTAACCTTTAAACGAATTGAGATAGATCGCCAAAATTTAGCATGGAGTCTTTTCTCTGCAGGCAGGTCAAGTTCGAAGATGAGCTATATCGGTGCACGTTTAGCTATATCGGTTCACGTTTAGCCCCCATATAGGGGTACCCCCAATTTTCAATATTTTGAGGTTCGTGGGCGCTTTTTAAGCGAATTTGCTGAAATTTGGTACGATGGATATATATTGGGCACCAAATGTCTCCACTAAAAATAATGAATATCGGTCCACTTTTTCTGGTAGCCCCCAATAACGGTACCCCACAATTTTCGATATTTTGGGGTTCATGAGCGCGCTTTTCAACCGAATTCGCAGGTTTAGTTCAATGGATTCTTATTGGGTACATCAACATGTACATGTTGACATGTGTGTTGTCCTCGGTAACCTATGTCAAATTCCATTAGACCATATTTAGAGTCGTTGTCGTGCAATGGATCAAAATTATACTACAACACAGAGCGCTGTTCAAAATTTAATCTCAATTGGACACCAGTTCATTATTTGGTGCACAATTAACATGAAGACACAGGAGCCAATCAGTCTGAATCAATTTTTATAAACCGCAATATTCTAGGCTCAATTTAAGATCTTAACTTAACACATGTTAGGTTATACTGACTTTAGAACGTTGTGCAAAATTTGGTATCAATCGAACAAACATGAAGAGTTTTGTGCAGCATTCACCAAAAATTGGACGAAAATATATATCGGAGCTATATCTAAATCGGAACCAATTTCATCTAATCTTACCAGACGTTATTGTAGATCCATTTCGATACGTTGCGCATAATGTCAATCCGACACACTTTTTTAACTTTTTGGACTTTTTACTTAATATTGGGTGAACATTTGTAACTAACTCTAAACCGATTTTCAGAAAACTTGGTACACGTAAGGCTATCCTAACTTCAGTATATTCTATTGAATTTATAAAGGCCGACAAACCGTTCTGTTCGATTTAAAGTTTATTAACAGAATAAAATATGAAAAACAGAAATACAATTTTCATTACTTTAAACAAAAATTCAAAACCTACTAAGGATTAAATTTAACAAGTGAATGTATTCAAAGTATAATCCAATACTCCTCCTCATTCACTTTAAATTGCATTTCTCGCGTAAAGTTACATGTTTAGGTGCTGTTAGTGGTTTCGTTAATATATCGGCAATCATCTCCTCCGTTGGACAATATGTGCATCTAATTATTCCTTTCTTGACTAGGTCTTTTGTTAATTTATATTTTGTATCGATGTGTTTAGTTCGAAAAGAAAATTTGTCATCATTTACTAGACGCAAACAGCTTTGGTTGTCATTATAAATAAGAGTTGGTTCATTAATAGGATAATGAATTTCTTCTAATAGTTGCCTTAACCACTTTGCGTCTTTAGAAGCTTCAGATAATGAAATAAATTCCTCGCATGTCGATGTTGCCACAATTGATTGTTTCTGGCAAGACCATCCTATCGTACCTCCATTATAAAAGTAAATTCTACCACTATTAGATTTCCTTTCGGTTCTTTCTTCTGCCCAATTTGCATCAGCATATCCAACAAGACTTTGTTCATTTTCATCATTGCTCAAATTAAGTTTTAACTGTGAAGTAGACTTAAGATATTTCAGAACCCTTTTACATTGAGACCAATCCTCCATTGTAGGGTTGGCAACCTTCTGAGCCAATATATTTACTGCAGCTGAAATGTCTGGTCGAGAATTGACAGAAATATATAAAAGTTGTCCAATTAATTTTCTATACTTCGTATTTGTTTCAAGAAGTGTTGAATCTTCTGATTTTCCGTAACTAACATCCATTGGCGTTTTTACATTCTTAGAGTCCTGCATACCATATTCGTTTACAACTTTTCCAATATACGAAGATTGAAAGAGTTGAAAATTTCCTTTGTAATCTTGTGTTATTTCGATTCCCAGATAATGTTTAATTTTTCCTAAATTAACTATAGTGAAATTCTTTGACAAAGTATTACCAATATAATTCATCTGCGTCGATGTATTGCATGCTACAATTATGTCATCAACATAAACAAGAATGTAGCTCAATTTCCCAGAAATATTACCATAGTAGAAACATAAATCATTTATACACTGTTTGAAACCCATTTTTTCAAGCGCTTCGTGTAAAACCATATTCCATGATCTAGCAGCCTGCTTGAGGCCATATATACTTTTCTTCAATAGACAAACCTGCTCATTGTTATCTTGAAATCCTGGAGGTTGTTGCATAAAAATGGTTTCAGACAGCTTACCATTTAAAAATGCAGTCTTTACATCAAAATGATTAACCATCATTTTTTCTTTTCCAGCAATTGACAGCAGAATTCGAAACGAGGTATGTGTTGCAACAGGTGCAAAAACTTCATCGTAATCTACGCCGAATTTTTGAGAAAATCCTTGAGCAAGAAGTCGGGCTTTAAATCTATTTACTTGTCCATCAACATCACGTTTCACTTTATATACCCATTTACTTCCGATTGCTGTTCTACCTTCGGGTAAACTGACAAGTTCCCATGTTTGATTTGCCTGTAGAGATTCTAGTTCATCTTGCATAGCTTCCAACCACTGCACACGCTCGGTACTGTTAATTGCATCTTGGTATGATTTCGGTTCTCTAATTTCATTCGCTGACCATATTTCTTCAATTAGTCTTTTCGGTGCAGAACCTTTGTTGCATCTTTTGGATGTTCTAATATGTTGCTCACAAATATTGCTGTCTTGTGTTGAGTTAGTGCTTTCTTCATTTGGAATATTGATTGAATTTTCCTCTATATTATTTTCATCCGGTAAATTATTTCGGCCCTCAATTGGAATATTGATTGTATTTTCTTTTACTGAATTATTTTCGGGTATTGAATTTATAAAGGCCGACAAACCGTTCTGTTCGATTTAAAGTTTATTAACAGAATAAAATATGAAAAACAGAAATACAATTTTCATTACATTAAACAAAAATTCAAAACCTACTAAGGATTAAATTTAACAAGTGAATGTATTCAAAGTATAATCCAATATATTCTGCAAAATCGATTCAATAACTTATAATGATCCGACAATTTGTCCACACATAACAGCGTTGGCAGTAACGAAAATTTTATTTTGTAAAAATGTAGACAAATTGTCGATAAACTTTCAAAAAGCTTTTAAATTTGAACATTTTGAAAACAAAACACAGACAAAATTTAATCAAAACTAGGCATGTTGAATAAAGAAGAATATTTGTCGATAAGTTAACATGGTGTTGTTTATTAACAAAACATATTACGTTATTTATTCTATCATGTTGAATAGCGCAAATCAACAAGCAAAGTTAAGGGGACCCCCCATGCTCGGGTCAAAAATTTTTTTTTATTTAATTCAAATCTACACTAATTCGAGAATGTCCCTACAAAATTTCAAGTGAAAATCTTAATAACTTTTGAAGATATAGCCGATTTATTGTGTCAGCATCAAGTGACGGCTAAAAGGCTTCTCAAACTTTAAACGAGTTTTTCTCTTTTGCGAGTGGCGGGCACGATAACTCAAAAACTAATAACCCAATCGATTCCAAATTTTTACACGTTTCTCTGTGAGTGTATAGCTATGGTATGAACTAGGATAAAGCCAATCGGTGAAGATCTTCCTTATTTTTTAACTCAAAAATCGGCGATTTTCCAAAAATATTTTTTCAAAGGTCCGCCATTTGGTTAATTTTAGAGCGAAGTCAATAATCCTAGTTCATACGAGAGCCAGACATGTACTCTTTCTGTCCGCCATCAAAAATGAGGACTTTTCTTTAATTACAAAAAACTACAACAAGACAACAACAAAAAATTTTTGTATATTATTTTTCTACTTTTTAAATCTTCAAATATATATGTGCAAAGTTACAAACCTTAATAAGCATTGGTATTGATTTACCAGCCCATTGAAAATCTTGAAAAATTAAAATCGAGAATGGGAGGGGTTCCCTTAATACCACTTAACAACATTTTTCAAACAATACAAACCTAAACCTTTAATTATTTCAATATAATGGACTTGAGCCACTTTGAAAATAATCGACTTATGTAGTACCCACACAACATATAATTTATTTAAATTACAACAATAAATTACGATAAGATCGTAGTGAGAGCTTCCGTTCCCATCTGTGTGTCTTTGAACATAATTTGACCAAAAACCCATAACAACTGGTCAATGACACTGAAACAACTGCCACAATCAAAACATTAAAGAGATCGATAGCATACTTAAACTAAATAAGGGAAATCCGTTGTTTGGATGGTTTTAGTTTGGGTCATTATTAAACATATTTTGTTTACTTTACATCATCTTAGTCTCCGCAAAGGGTGCAGCGATGAACCTTTAACCCGAATCTTGAAAATTAGGTAATAAAAATAGATTTAAAAACTCGTTAGCCTTCAGATATCTTTGAAGTCGTAAAATAAATGGAAATCACAAAAATATATATTTTTTGTTTATGTTTGAAGAGATTACGATTTGATATAAACAAATTGATTTCGAATTGAACAATCGCACGTCATATGAAATTAATATATATTTGGTAAATCATTTACAATTGCAATAAAAAAACAATCGAATAAACAAAACATATGTTTAATTACAATTTCCTGCAATGAGATGATGAAAAAATTGTAAACAGTTTAAAAAATGTCCAATGTTGCGTATTGCATTGGTTTTGGGACTGTTAACTTACAGTAGAGAAAACCAGTAGTGTTTTTTTATACATTGCTAATTAGGGAGTCTAAACAGTGGGCAATAATCCGACGTTATATTGTTGTGTTTCGTCGATGATCCCAGCTTCAAAATCTAAAGCGATGCCATCTATGTATCCTTCGATAGTAGTTGGGTTCTAATTGGGTACTTAATCTTCCTGCCAAATGTGATGTGTATTCGTCCAATTTTTTGTAATGGCACCTCCCTTTTCTAAAATCCTTTACAAACGTGTTGGCTGTAAGTTGGAATTTTGGATTATTTTAATACTCACCACTATATAAACCCTTTTTCTACTCTCCGCCATAATATAGAATACATTAAATTTGTTTAGGCATAGCCCGCATATAACGGGGACTATTTGTCAAATTGTTTGGGTTGTCTCCATATAACAGTATCAAATTTTGATATTTTTGATATTTTTTGCGTTTAGAATAAATATTTGGGATAAGCTCAATATAACCACTGTTTATATCCTTCACCAAACTGTGGTACAAGCGAAAAGGCTTATAGTTTCTTTTGAGAATATTCATAGAATCAGCACAAACCTCGCAACCTCTCAAAATTTGACCGATTGGGACGTAACTTGGCATAGCATACCAAATTGAGTCTAGGTTTAGATATAGCTCCCATATACATATATTTTCTTCCGATTTTACATAAATTATACACCAAACTACCAAGGCTTTTTCGATTGGAATGAAATAGCAAACTGTGTACTTTGAAATCGATTCAGATTTAGATATTGCTCCCATACCAAACTTCCAAGGTTTGTCCGATTGGTACTAAATTTATAATATTGTACCGTATCGAGTATAGAATGACAAGTATTAAGTTTCGTCAAAATTGTTCAACCCATATAGATATGTTCATCCGATTAGTATGGTAGGTATTTTAATTTTGGATTTCCGTTTGTAACTCATCAAAATAATGATTTCCGACCCTATAAAGTATATATTTATATTCTTATTCAAATTTACGCATGCGCTTCCGTCTGTGGTAATCACTCTAGCCTCTACACGAATTGAGATAGATCGCCACAATTTGTCTTTTGTCTGCATACAGATCAAGTTCGAAGATGGGCTATATCGGTCCACGTTTAACCATATAAGGGTATCCCCTATTTTCGGATTTTGGGGTTCTTGAGCGCCTTTTTCAACCGAATTCGCTAAAATTTTGTTCTTTGGGTTCTTATTGGCTATCAAGATTCTCCACCATAAGGTGGAGTGTATATCAAACTTGGAGAGTATAACGAAATATTCAGCGGAGACCCCATAAAGTATTATTCTTGATCAAAGTAATATTCTATGTGATTTATGCATTTTGAAGATCGCAATATTTAAGATAGAGCTCTGCACAGACATTGCTACAAATCTAAGGATATTTAATATTGCAAATAGTATAAATCGGTCTAGGTTTTTGTGCAGCCCCCTTTAGTATTATAGTCGGACTGGGCCGACTATATGACACCCTTCACCACTTTGAAGAGCATCCTAACAGACGTCGCCTTTTTAAAGGAATATTGACATGAAATTGAACGAACTTAAATATGCGATCTTTATTTATAAGTAAACCAACTAACATCAATTCCAACACATGCCATTCTGCAACCTATTCCATACTTTGTAAATAGTTTTAAAGCAAACTTTACACACGCTACTTGGAACGCTTCACGGTTTAAAATGTATAAATCAGGCACCCATTGATTACTTGGTGTACAATAAACATGAATAGGTCGAAATTTTATATAGAAGCTATGCTATATCTAAATCTAAACCGATTTCAAGGAAACGTGCTAGATATTAATTTTTATTAATTTCAGTACGTTTTGTCAATCGCCTAGGTATGGGTCTTTAGTGCACCATTTACTTACAATTGAACGAAAGTATATATAAAAGTAATGTATATATGTAAATCTGAACCAATTTTAAGAAAACTTGGCACACGAAAGGTTATAATATCCTCAGTACATTGTACAAAATTGTGTGCCGATCGGCCAATGTTTGGATCTTTAGTGCACCATTTAAATTAAATCGGTCGAAAATATATATTGAAGCTATATCTAAATCTGAACCGATTTACACGAAAATAAGCACACATCATTCTGGACCTAATTCAGTACCCTATGCCAAATTTCATCGAAAGATATATAGGTACTTTGGAGCCCCATTTACCTTAAATCGGACGAAAATATTTATGGGAGCTATATATAAATCTGAACCGATTTTCTCGAAATTTGGCACACGTCATTCTAGACTCAATTCAGTACACTATGCCAAATTTCTTGTAAAATGGAAAAATATATAGGGACTTCGGTGCCCTATTTACCTTAAATCGGTTGAAAATATATATGGAAGCTATATATAAATCTGAAACTTAGCACACATCATTCTGGACCTAATTCAGTACTCTATGCTAAATTTCGTGCAAATCGAAAGATATATAGGGACTTTGGTGCCCCATTTACCTTAAATCGGACCATAATATATATGGGAGCTATATCTAAATCTGAATCTATTTTCTTGAATTTCAATAGGGTTCGTTCTTGGGCAAAATAAGTGACTTGTGTCAAATTTCATCCAAATTGGTTCATAAATACGACCTGTACTTTGTTTACAATTTAACATCTACAGACGGACGGACATTCATAAATCGACTCAGAAAGTGATTCTATGCATATTCTTAAAAGGAACCATGTGTCTATCTCGTTTCCTTTTGCCTGTTACAAACATATGCACAAAGACTTAATACCCCGTACCACAGTGTGGTGAAGGGTATAAAAAATTATTAATATTTACCCAAGTTTGTGGTTAGCCCTTATTTAACTGTACTCCCCAATACTCAGTATTTTAGACAGGTTTTTCAACTGAATTGGCTGTAATTTGGTATTTTGGGTTATCATTGAATAACACAAGTCCATACCAAAATTAATTAAAATTAATGTAAGTTTCAGTTTTGTATTTTGGGTTCTCATAACGGTATCACCAAATTTCCGCACTAAAAATTTTTAATATTGACCCACGTCAGCATTTTGAGAATTATGGACATGTTTTTCATGGTTGGTTTTAATTTGTATTATCATTGGTTGTAAAAACTCACTACCAAAAATATCAATATTGATTTCCGTTTTATTATAGGCCCATATAACGATATCGCCACTCTGATATGTTTGGAGAATTTCAATCATCATTTTCTAACGTAATTTTCCTTATCATCTAGGTTCTATCAAAATATGAGTTTTCACGAAAGATGATATATAAAGTTAAGATCTCTTTTCTTTTTCTGTTTTAGCGCTCAAAAGAGTAACATTTTAAATCTATGTGATCCCAACTCATTTGGCGATTTTATCAGCTGAATAAGTATATTCACCATAAATCAGGATGTCTCAATAACGGACGGTTGTCTGGAATATTTTACGCGACGTTATAGAAGTAATGAGTAAGCTAAACGATAGCTCAGCTTATTATGTTGTCACTCGATGCATTTATATTAAAAATGTATAATAAAAGCATTCATTTAGTTAAAAATTCTACCTGAAGTTCAATGTTTTCAATATAATATTAAATATATTATTAAGCGTTTCAAGGCTGCAAAAGAACTTGTATTTTGGAATTAATATGGAATATAACAATAACATATATGTTTACCTATTTGTTTCTTTTCTTTTTGTTCGAGGTAATGAATATAATTAAATATAATAATTGGACATCATGGCAATCTGTATAAAACAATTGTTAAATAAATGTATTAATATCGATCAGATTTGTGAATTGGGGACTAAAATATTATTTAACAAAAGTTTTAGACATATTAAATAAACCAGTGAGCGGAGCAGTATAGTCGGACGGGGCCACAACTTCCATTAAAATCTAACTTTCTGTGGTTCTATATTCTGAGATTGGGCAATATTTCGCGATATTTGCACACTTTTGAATGGCTAGTGGTCAGCAAATGTTACTAATAATCAGTACAGCCCCTCTAATTACTTGTCCAGATTCCCTTCATCGTGGGTTGTGTTGTGATGTTCGGCTTTCGACTCGAAAAGAACAAATAATTAAGTTTTCGGTAAACTTTATCCGGGAAATTATTATGTGATCATCACCTAGCATTTTGGGCGTTGTCCTTGACTATAACTGGAACCTCATGGAACATTTCAAAGCGATCAGCGCTATATTTCCGCCCTCCAGTGTGGTAATAGGTTACTAAATAATATATAAATACGTAAGGACCTGTAAATATTTAAGTGTAATTCTCGCATACGAGTACCTACGGCAATATAATTGGTATTATCAACTTCTCGGGTCTATGTCCTTCAGTGGTAAATATATACGCTATAGAATACAAATTTTGTCATTTTTCACACAAAAGTTAGGGTCCATTTGACCCGCTAAATATTGACCGATTTTTATCAAAACAGGCATGCTTATTCTTTGCCCCGATATCCTTCTCCATGCAAAAATTCGCGATGTTTGGGCCATAATTGCGGCGTCTAGAGCGACTAGAAAATCAGACAAAAATAAAGTTTTTGGTCCATTTCATCCCCTAAATATTAACCGATCTTTTCCAAAAACAAAATTTCGTGAAGATTGGTCCATAACTGTGGTCTGTATCGTGTTTACAAATTATAATGGACAGACGGACGGACGGACACACATGTCTAGATCGACTCAGCTAGTCGAGATATGACGATCGGTATACTTAAAGGTGGGTCTAGGACCAATATTTCGCGGCGTTACAAACTCTTGGGGCTGCACAAAGCTATAATACCCTGACAACATAGTTGTGTAGGGTATAAAAAACAAATCAAAAATAAGTTAGTATTCTATAACAATAAATTTAAATTAGTAAACAAAACTGTTAAAATTGAAAGTATTTCCGGTTTAATGGACTGACCCACCAACAGTAGCTAACCTATTAACATAAAATATGATTATGTCCATCGTTTAACGACTTCAATTCGGAAGTTAATATTCAACAAAGTAAAATAACAATAATTTTCATTAATATTTATAGGCTGTGCTAACCCAATTAATATTTTGTTAAGGTAATATATACATTTATTATTGTATATCTATATATATAAAAATGAATTGCTGTTCGTTAGTCTCGCTAAAACTCGAGAACGGCTGAACGGATTTTTCTTATCTTAGTCTTAAAATATTCGTAGAGCTTCAGGGAAGGTTTAAAAGGTGAGAAAAATTTAAAAATCGCGAAAAATTTGCAAAAAAGAAAAAATATTATGAAAAAAAATATTATGAAAAACAATATTTGAAAAAAAATATTCATTTGTCAAATATTGAAAATTTTCAAAATATTTTATTTTATTCAATTGGCATTGTAACGAAACTTTTTTTCTGAGAATGCAAAACAATAATTGAGATGAATTCGCGATCATTGTATGTACACGTTTTCCATAAAATTCACGTACATTTTGGAACAAATGCAAGGATGAAAATCTGAAGATTCAGAAAGAGTTCTGATTCTAAGACACGTGCCCTAGATTATTCTTCTTGAAAATAATAATAGGAACATGTTGTTATTGAAGTACCTAAAATGTACCATTATATGGTGGTTATATGCCTAATCGTTGGTCAATGTCTTTAATCGCATATGTCTATCACAGAGAAAATTAAGTTCATATTGAAAGAGAACAACTATAAAAAGCATTTGTTATAACAAAGAGTCTCATGATGTTACCTCAATATGTCAACTACCAATATATTTAATACCATGAAAAATCGTTGTTAAGATCGAACTTTTGTACTTCCTAATATGTAGATTCCTTAAATCGGCCGGGACATTTATATGAGGACTATGTTACACAGTATGTGTAGTAGATAGGAAAACGGGGGGTAAGAACTTCAACATACTGAAAATTAAACAGGAAATATGTATGGCGCCTTTTTATTGCATTAAGCCAAATCCATGATCCATCCATTCCGTCAAATTCTTTACAAAACCGAAAATGGTGCGGGACCCGTATGTAGGAGCTATACAAAACTTGGTCCTGAATAGAAATGTTTCCGCAAATGTGTTTTACCCTTTCAATATCACGGAATTATATATGATATGAATGATATACGATACTACAATGGGTATGGATATATACTAATACCACATGAGAAAATACCGAACAATAAGAGTATATCATTGTATGGGGCTACCCGGACCAATTTGCATCAATATTGATAATTTTTTGTAAACAGGTTTTCTTCATCCAAAATAAAACATTACAGCACTTCGGCTGAAGCACTCCCTAAAATACCGAACTCCTCAAAGTACCGAATATTGTGGGTACCTCAAAGATTTAACCAATATTGACAATTTCAGTACGATTCATTCTACCAAATATACAACCAAACGTGCCGAAATCCCCCACAGTATCGAAAAAGGTGGATTACTATTATATGGGGGATATTTGAAAGCTTGGGCGAACATAACATTGCAGCCAAATACCGAATATTAAGGGATGCCGTTAGATGGGGATATCCGAATACTTGAGTCAATATGGAAAATTCTAATTAGGGAGAATTTCTTCCCAATAAGTATCCCTAATATTAGGTTTGGGAAATAGAAATCCATTAGACCGGTGGAACGATCGAATTTTACAGGCATGTCGTAACATCGTCCAGGAGCTAAAAATTAAACCATTCACACAAAGCTGGATTCAAAAATAAGCTCAATGGTTGGGTGCCTCACCAATTAACAGAAAAAAATGGAATGGATCGAATTTCCATCTGCGAAGCCTTGACCAAACGAAATGAGATACTCTTATTTTTATAAACGGATGGTGACTGGAAATGAGAAATGGATCACATACGATAACCCTATGCAAAAACGATCGTGGTCAAAGAGCGGTAAAGCACCTCAAACGGTGATCAAACCAGGCCTAACGACCAGGAAGGTTCTGCTATGCATTTGGTGGGACTGGAATGGGATTATTTATTATGAGTTGCTTTCATATGGCCAAACTCTAAATTCTGATCTCTACTGCCAACAACTGTACCGTTTGAAGATAGCAATTGGCCAGAATTGGCCAACAGGGGAGGTGTCGTGTTTCACCAGTAGGCCTATTCTGTAACTTTTAACAACATTCGATATTGTTTAAATTTCTTTTGTTATTGTAAAAACAATAAACCAAACAAATGAAATTGTTGTAAAATAGACAATATCGAATGTTGTTAAAAAGTTACAGAATACAGGGGCAGGACAACGCTAGGCCATCTTATGAGTGGTACAAATGTATGTGCAAATATAAAATTTATATCTTAAATCGTGGAGGGAGCAACAAAACTCACTCATAAACATCAAATTCAGTTTTGTAATGTTACCCTATGTGTGCTCTGATAAATACCAAGATGTTACAAAAATATATACAATTCACCTTATGATGGTGGGTATAAAAACAACCTAAAATGCCGAAAATTATACATCAAAAATATTGTTAGGCAAGACAACGTTTGCCGGGCCCGCTAGTATATTATAATATTATAATTTTATAACCTGAGTCTAGTACCTTTTAATTGTTATTTATATAGCCACGATGAAATGTAGAAACACTGTAATTGTTTAATTATTTATTAATTTTTTATATTTCTTTATATCAATAGACAATATAATAAGTTAAACAAATATGTTATTGTCAGTTATTAATAAATAAATGATTTACAATCAATGTTCCGTCCATGATTATTATTCAATTAAATTTAATTGTGCATGTCATGTTTTTGTGGACTGCCCTAGCAATAGGCATAATTTATTAATATTTTTATTCTAACGAGTTTTCAGATTTACTGTTGATCAAATCGGTTATTCAATTCGCTTCAAATTAAATATCTATATATATAAAAGAATTGCGTTATAAATGACTGACTGATCATCAACGCCAGACGAAACGGCCAAAGCTAGAAACTTGAAATTTGGCATGTAGGTGGGGTTTGGTGCGTAGACGTGTGTTAAGGCGGCTTTTTTGAAAGTTCGTACTAAAAGGTACTAAAAACTGTATTACGCGGGTACGGTTAGATGTAGAACTCTGAAATTTGGTATGTAGCTTTGTCTACGATAAGTCAAGTGGTATATGTGAAAGTCAAGTGGTATATATCTCAAACTCGGTATGTGGCTTAAGCTACTACAAATAGAAATATTTTTTGGAAATTATTACTAAAGGGTAATAAAAAGTACTAAAACTGTATTACGCCGGAACGGTTGAAAGTAAAACTCTAAAATTTGGTATGCAGCTATGTCAATAATAAGGGAAGGGTTACTTGTGAAAATTTTTTGGAATTTAGTACTAAGAGGTACTAAAAAGTACTAAATACTATAGAGATACATATTTGAAACTTGGTATGAAACTTGTGATTTTACAAATATAATGTTGTATAAAATTATTTATTGGTAATTAGTACTAAAAACTGTTACTCCGTAACGGTTAGAAGTAGAACTCTGAAATTTGGCGTGCAGTTTTGACAATGATAAGCGAGGGGGAATGTGTGAACACATTTTGGAAATTAGTACTAAATGTGCTAAAAGTACTAAATATTATATTACAATGGAACAGATAGGATTATAGAAATAGAAATCGGAAACGTGGTAGATTTCATTTATTACAAAGAATATGCTATTCATTAATATATTTGTTTACATTTGTATTAAAATGGTACAATAGAAACTGTATAGATTGAAATCTGAAATTTAATATGTAGCTTAAATATGGAAAATGGAAATTAGTATTAACATTGTACCACAGTGAATGACAATAAATGTAAATATACCAATTTTTTGTATTAAGAGTGAAGAACTTTTGTTTGCAAACAAAGTAGTGTGTTGATATCGTTTTTTATTAAATGGTTTTAAAACGCATGGAAACCACTAAATATTGTACATGGGTATTAAGAGAATAGAAGTGGTCGTTATGTTGTGAAAAATTTCGTGTCATTCGACCTAAATTTGATTCTTTGGTTCACAATTCACTAAAAATGGGTCTAAAATATATAGGAGAGCTATATCTAGATCTGAATGAATTTCAGTAAAACTTGGCACACGTTAGACTATCCTCACTTCAGTACTTTGTAAAAAATTTCGTGCCGTTCGGTCCAAATTTGACTCTTTGGTGCACTATTTGCTGGAAATGTTCTGTTCTAACTTCAGTACGTTGTGCAAAATTTCGTGCCATCCGGCCTAAATTTGACTCTTTGGTGCACAATTCACTAAAAATCGGACGAAAATACATATGGGAGCTATATCTAAATCTGAACCGATTTCAGTAAAACTTGGCGCACCAAATTCCAGTCCATTGTGCAAAATTTCGTGCCAATCGGGCTAAATTTGAGTCTTTCGTGCAATTTTATATGGGAGCTATATCTAAATCTGAACCGATTTTTCCCAATTTCAATAGGGTTCGTCCTTGAGCCAAACAAATGGGCTGTGCCAAATTTCATCCAATCTTAAATGCGATCTTCACTTTGTTTACAATTTAACATGGACAGACGGACGGGCGTACATGCATAAATCGACGCAGAAAGTGTCTATCTCGTTTCCTTTTGCCTGTTACAAACATATGCACAATGACATAATACCCTGTACCACAGTGTGGTAAAGGGTATAATTACTGACAGAGATTTTGTGAATTGTAGTATATACAATATACTGAACACCATATACAAATAACTAAACACCACAAATAGTAAAATATTGCCACTTTTACCATAACAATATTGATATTTATTCCCAATGACATTCTATGTAATGATTAATGGGCGTGATCTTTTGCAACTCCCCAGAAACACAAAATTTCCGCAACTTTTAATGGAAATCTTCCCTATAAAGGCAGAACTTTGTTAAAGCCAATATGTCGATGTAATTATAAAAAATGATTTACTGCGCAAAATAGTATTTTACAAATTCATATATACTATATATTCATAAATATCAATATTTTACCATTACTTTTAAACTACCGAAAGGAACCAAAAAGTTTCTAAAAATCTATTATGGTACTATTAGCATTGGTCTATCGAGAAAGTAGGTCACATTCATCAAATATAAACATTATTATGTTGTACTCGATTTAGTAGGATTCGATTATCAAACCTTCTTAAACCTATGTTTGGAAGAAATTCTGACTAAGATCTAAAATTTTCCTAAAAAAAATTAATATATATGACCAATTATACATATTTATACATGCATGAATCCATGAATTAACTTATGTTGTGTATCTAAAGTTAATTTGAACTATAAAATTGTATGTGATTTTGGAAAGATCCGCTAACGAAGTAGAGGGTGTATGCTAGCATAAATATAAAATATTGACCATTTGTGAGGGAGGTACCGGAAGGAGTGGACCAAAGAGTCCCAACTTCGGGCTTAATATATGCTGCGTAAAGATAATAGGTTATGCCATGTTTGGTAAATTGACTCCAAATTGTCTGAAACTGATTTCGTCCAAAGAAACATGTAGTCTAAAACCAATGAGCCACATTTTCACCGTATCAAAGTGTATATACCCTCATTAGTCATAAGGCTGAGGGTATAAAAATATGACTGCAATTTTTAAGAATAAGTTTAATACAAGGATATGTTAACGACCATTACTTTATCAGGACACTTCTGCCAGGACAACATGAGTATCGTTGCAAAGTTTATTGAGTCTACTTTCCACTGCCATAAAAAAGGCTTCAAAGTCGCCATATTTAATATTTGATAGGTCCTTTGAACTTCATTTGTATACCCTAAACAACTATGATGTAAGGGTATTATAGCTTTGTGTCTCTTTTCTTGTCTAGCTGAGTCCATTATAAATTGTTCTGTCCAAAAAAGGTCAGAGTTTTTTTATGGACGAATAATATTTAAACTATGAAATGGACAAAAAACTCTATTTTTTTATTTTCTGGTCGACTAGAGGCCACAATTATGATACGAACACCAAGATATTTTACACCAGAATGGCTCTTTTGATGAAGATCTGTCCATATTTAGCGGGTCAAATGGACCCAAACTTTAGTGTGAAAAATTGGAATGTTTGTATTATGGAGCGTATATGTTTACTCCTGAAGTAGTCGTTTCAAGTATATTCAAGAGGAGTTGTTGACCTTTAAATTGATACCAATTATATTGTTGTATGTACTCGGATGTGGGTGTTATACATAAATATTTAAAGTTGTCTATGCGTTATGCTATTTTTTAGTACATACTACCGAAATGTCTTTGAAATTTTAAATGAAGTTCCGGTTACGGTCAAGGGGGTAGCCTATAATTTTCGGTGATTTTGAGATGATATTTAGGATGTGAAATAAACCGAAAACTTTTTTGTCAGATTTCCTAGTCGCTATTGAGGCCATTATAATATGCAGAACATTACATATTTTAGATCTGTTGACATATGATCTTGACCGATCATATGTTAACAGATGCAAATATTGCCTGGGCTCAGAATATAGAAACGCAGAATGTTCGATTTTTGTATTCGTTGAGTAGGGTAACATAGAGTCGGTCCCGTTCGACGATACTGCTCCGTTCACTGGTTTATTTTCTGCACGCTAGATCTGCTTTTTATCCCATATCAAGATTATAGATACGATTTCCTACCGAAGACACAGTTCTTTGGCATTCCAGGGTCATGAGTGAGCCAAAGATGTTTTAACAGAATGATATAGCATCCATGTGTTTAAAATGTTGGGTAATTTCCGTCACAACTAACTAGATGTAGGTGACATATGACTCCTGTTTCTAGACAATCGAAATGTATTGATATGGACAATAAATTTGCTGAAGACCCCCGAGAAAATAACTAGTTACGGATCTTCATTATAATTTTGTTTTACGTTTTATTTTGAATTTCGCAATGATTATTTTTTCGACCATCCTCCCCAGCCGCCTCCGCCGCCTCCGCCGCCGCCACTCCAACCACCACCACCACCTCCTCCTAGACTTATAATTTTGTAAACGGTAACATGGGAACCTCCACCATAGCCGCCGCCATAGCCTCCACCGCCACCATAGCCTCCACCGCCTCCATAGCCGCCGCCGACACCACCCCATCCACCGCCGCCATAGCCACCACCATAGCCTCCGCCGCCACCGCCATAACCTCCACCACTTCCATAGGATATAATTTTATAGGTGTCAACATGTCCGCCACCTCCTCCGTAGCCACCGCCATAGCCCCCACCGTATCCTCCACCATATCCACCTCCTCCGCCTCCACCAAACAAGAATCCTGCCTGGACCGTGGCGACTAAGCACGCCAAAGCCAAAACTTTAACATATCCCTAAAATCCATGCAAGAAAGTTTGTATTAATTTCTATTACTGTAATTCTCGATCAGGTATTCTTAACTTACTTTCATTATCGGACTTTCGAAACTAGTACCCTCATTACCAACGGGATTGCTTAAATACATGGATTTTGGAAATAAATTCAATTATTTTTGTTTTTTTTATTTTTTTATTAACGATTTTATAATAAAAATAATAAAAAGACTTGATGTCTATCATTGTGGGGGATGGATTAAGCAGAACAAGTTCCAGGTTTGTGCTAAGTCGTACTTATTTCATAATTACAAAACAAGTCATAAGAAATTTTGAATTTTTGGTATTTTTTTTTTTTTTTGACAATTTTTTTCTTGTTTATTTCTTCTTAAGAGATAGGTAGTTATAATAGATTTAAATTTCATCAAAAATAATACGTTATGCTATCTTTATGAGACACATTTGATATAGAATAATATGCAGATTGGCATATCCAGATATTCTAGCCAATTTGTTTATTTTGTTTTAACAATTTTTACCAGTCATACATTTAAATCGATTTAAACAGTACGAAGTTCAATATGGGGTGAGAAACGTTTTTACATAGTCCTTATATAAAAGGCCCGTCTCCATTCGAGGTATTTTCCACCTAAGTGGTTGTTATTTGGTATTTCGAATACTTGCAGGATGAACCAGTAAGGAAAGTAAAGTCGAACGGAGCAGACTATATGATACCCTTCACCATTTTGTGTATATTCAACAGATGAATCTTAACAGACGTCGCATTTTTAAAGGACCAGTAAAATGAAACTGGATTCATAAATATGCCACTCGGCAATTCGTTACGCTGTGCCAAATTTCGTGCAAACCAAAAGATATTAAGTGACTTTGGTACAACATTTACCTTAAATCGGATGAAAATATATATGGGAGCTATATCTAAATCTGAACCGATTTTCACGAAAATTAACACACATGATTCTAGACCTAACTCATTACGCTGTGCCGAATTTCGTGTCGATAGAAAGATTTTAAGGGACTTTGGTGCACTATTTACATTAAATCGGACGAAAATATATATGGGAGCTATATCTAAATCTGAACCGATTTTCACGAAACTTAACACACATCATTCTAGGCCTAATTCATTACGGTATGCCAAATTTTGTGCAAATAGAAAGAGATATAGGCGCTTTGGTGGACCATTTACACTAAATCGGACGAAAATATATATTGGAGCTATATCAAAATCTGAACCGATTGTCATGAAACTTAACAAACATCATTGTAGACTTGATTTATTACACTGTGCCAAATTTCGTGCAAATCGAAAGATATATAGGGACTTTGGTGCACCATTTACCTTAAATCGGACGAAAATATATGGGAGCTATATCTAAATATGAACCGATTTTCAAGAAACTTAACACACATCATTCTAGACCTAATTCAGTATGCTGTGCCAAATTTCGTGCAAATCGAAAGATAGATAGGAACTTTGGTGCACCATTTACATTAAATCGGGCGAAAATGTATATGGGAGCTATATCTAAATCTGAACCGATTTTCAGGAAACTTAACACACATCATTCTAGACCTAATTAAGTACGCTGTGCCAAATTTCGTGCAAATCGAGAGATATATAGGGACTTTGGTTCACCATTTACATTAAATCGGACGAGTATATATATCTAAATCTGAACCGATTTGTCCCAATTTCAATAGGGTTCGTCCTTGGACCAAATATGTGACCTATGCCAAATTTCATCCAAATAGGATCATATATGCGACCTGTACTTTGTTCACAAAAATACATGGACATGCGTAAATCGACTCAGAAAGTGATTCTATGCATATTCTCAAAAGGAACCCTGTGTCTATCTCGTTTCCTTTTGCCTGTTACAAACATATGCACAAAGACATAATACCCTGTACCACCGTGTGGTGAAGGGTATAAAAATATGCTTGCAGAAAATACACACATAACGGCACGGTGACATTTACTGTCTGTGAAGGTTTCCACTTAATCGTCAGTATTTTGAAGTACTTATCGCAGGTCATCAATGAATGCCACCACGGGCTTCATTTGTTGTTATTCACATTCGAAATAATTTCTAATTTTTGAAATGTAATTTTCCATATTTGAGTTTAACTGCGATAATATTTTTATATCCGCCACCATAAAGTGAAGTATATATTTATACCCTCGTGGTTAATCAGGGTATATACACTTTGATACGGTGAAAATGTGTCTCATCGAAATATTGGTTTTAGACCCCATGTTTCCTTGGACCACATCCGTTTTAAAAAATTTGGAGTCGATTTACATGTGGTCGTCGGCTGGTGCGCACGATAATTCTCGAAGGGAATAATCGGTTTCATCCAAACTATGCACAACTTAATAGTTATTCTAAATTTAGTTTAAGTTCGATGGGAAGATGGGGAATATCGGTCCACTCCTTCTGACACCTCCCCCACAAAATGGTCAAAATTGTGCTAAAAATTAATGTTATAATGACATGCAAACGGACTATTCAAACTTTGTACAACCTATTATATTTACCAAGCCTAGATCAAGTAGGAAGATGGGACCCATTGGTCCACTCTTTCTGGTACCCTCCCCCAGAGAGGGTCAAAATTTTCAATATTTATAAATCCAAAATCAGGCTAATGTACGATTTGAACCAAATTTTGCACAACCTATTATCTTTAGCAAAGATTGAACCAAGTTTGAATATGAGACCTATTGGACCACTAATCGAGATAGATCCATGCTTCCTTTTGAGAATATGCATAGAATCACTTTCTGAGTCGATTTATGCATGTCCGTCCATATATTTTTGTGAGCAAAATACAGGTCGCATTTATGATCCGATTTGGATGAAATTTAGCACAGATCACTTATTGAACCCGAGGACGATCCCTATTAAAATTAAAAAATCGTGGGTAACTCGTCACACACCTCAAATCACTTTTTCTGAAGATGTTCCTAAAAAAACATTAACTGTTTGTAACTTCATTCTATAAAATAGGAAACACTGATCTTCGTGATAATTTTGTCGTATGTTTTATTTATAATTCCGGTGTAATTATTTTCTATCCCAACCTCCCCAGCCGCCACCGCCGCCACCTCCGCTCCAACCTCCGCCGCCACCACCACTCCATCCACCGCCTCCACCTCCACCTAGAGTTATAATTTTGTAAACGGTAACATGGGAACCTCCGCCATAGCCGCCTCCACCACCACCATAGCCGCCTCCCCATCCACCACCGCCACCACCCCATCCTCCGCCGCCGCCGCCATAGCCCCCACGGTATCCTCCACCATATCCGCCTCCACCAAACAAGAATCCTGCCTGGGCCGTGGCGATTAAGCACGCCAAAGCCAAAACCTTAACGTATCCCTAAAATCCATACAAGAAATTTGTATTAATTTCTTTTACTGTAATTCTCGATCGAATCTTCTTAACTTACTTTCATTGTTGGACTTTTGAAACTAGTACATTCATTACCATCCGCGTTGCTTATATACTTGGATCTTAGAAATTAATTTAATTGTTTTAATTATTTTTTTTTCTAAACATTTTGTATTAGAATTAATAATAATAAAATAATAAAACGAAATTGGTGTGGGGGATATATTAAAAAGAACAAGTTCTAGGTTTGTCTTACTTCTTTCATCGAATGAAATGAATAATTACAAAACAACACACAAACCAAATTTTGAACTCAATAGTCTCAATGTTATGGAATTTTTGGCAAATTGTTGACCAAATATTTTCTTGTTTATTTGTTATTTAGAAAGAGAGGCGAAGTTAAAAATAGACTTAAATTTCATCAAAAATAATACGATATGCTATATTTATGAGACAAATTCGATATAAAATAATATGCAGATCTACATATCCAGAAATTCTAGCCAATTTGTTTATTTTGTTTTAACAATTTTTTCCAGTCATATATTTAAATCAATTAAAAGTGTATGAGGTACCATATGAGGTTTAAAATAGAAGTTGGTTAAAGAAAAATATGTCAGTTATTTTTTGAAACAATTTTGTAATTCCAGGATTAGGAAAAAAATATTATTGCTGGAAAATTGGTTTGCAACGCTTCGAAAGATTACATTTTTTTTTTTATTTTTGACCATACGACATTAATAAACTTAATTTAGCATTGCATGACATTACATTTTCCATTAATTAATTAGTTCATTTTATTTTCAATATTTCACTAATTTTTATCTAATATTTGGGGTTAATTTACCAACCGCCTTTTCATTATAGTCCATGCATTTTCAATTGGATACTTCCCTTATAAATGGATTTATAGAGACTGCAGGTCTGCAGATAGACTACGTGCCTATATAAAGACCATTTGGTCTATCTAGAGGCCGACTGAAAATTGATAGAGACCATAGGTCTGCAGAAAGGCTACATGTCTGTACAGAAGCCACGGGTGTCTATAAAGACCAATTGTACTGTATGTCGAACACTGGGTCTGTGGTCAGGGGGAAGTGGTCTGTATAGAGACCACAGACCTTTATAAAGGGTAGTAGCAGATGAGAATAACATTTTATGTCGACATCGGATAAGATCGACCATTTGAAATTTCGCATTGACGTTGATGTTACTCCTAGGATGTTTGGCATTACACCTGGGGTATATCGGTCCACATTTTGGTATAGCTCCCATATTTGGAATTTCGAGTAATTTATGGTCATTTTTTCCTGTGCAAACTGGAATACCGAACTTTTTAAGGCAGAAGCTTATCCATAAAGGTCCATGTTTAGACATTTATTTTGAGGGTTTTAGCTGCATTTTCCAACCGAAATGGCAACAATTTAATATTTCGGGTTTTTATACCCTTCACCACACTGTGGTACAGGGTATTATGTCCTTCTGCATATTTTTGTAACATGCAAAAATAATCGAGATAGGCCCATGGTTCCTTTTGAGAATATGCATAGAATCACTTTCTGAGTCAATTTATGCATGTCCGTCTGTCCGTACGTCCGTCCGTCCGTCCATGTATTTTTGTGAACAAAGTACAGGTCGCATTTATGATCCGATTTGGATGAAATTTGGCACATCTCACTTATTTGGCCCAATGACGAACCCTATTGAAATCGGTTCAGATTTAGATATAGCTCCCATATATAGTTTCGAAATTTGGCACAGCGTAATAAATTAGGTCTAGAATGATATGTGTTAAGTTTCCTGAAATCAGTTCAGATTTAGCTCCCATATATATTTTCTCGCGATTTTAGGTAAATGGTGTACCAAAGTCTCTATATATCTTTCGATTTACACGAAATTTGGTATAGCCTACTGAATTAGGTCTAGAAAGATGTGTGCTAAGTTTCGTAAAAATCGGTTCCGATTTAGATATAGCTCCCATCAGGGACGTAAGCAGGGGGGCGGCCCGGGGGGGCCGGGCCCCCCCCCCCCCCCCCCGAAATGAATTTTTTTCACAGAAAAATTATGTTCGCAGCAGCGAATTTTTCCATTTTGTACTACCGGGCCCCCCCCGAAATGAAATCCTGAGTACGTTGCTGGCTCCCATATATAGTTTCGCTCGATCTAAGGTAAATGGTCTACCAAAGTTCCTGAAAATCATTTGATTTGCACGAATTGTGGCATAGCGTATTGATCGGTTCAATATTGTATACCAAATAATCAATAGGTGTCTGATTGAGACTAAATATTAAACAGTGCAGCATACCGAAGAGCGTGTGTCAAGTTTGCTTTAAATCGATTTACACAAATCTGCCCCACTGTGCGCAAACGACTCTAAACTTGCCCAAATGAAATGGAATTTAGCATAGGTTCCAGAAAAATATAAAAATCACATATTTAAGTTCGTTCAATTCTATGTCAAAATTCCTTCAAAAAGGCGAATCCTTTTCGGATACATATCGACGCCTCCGAACCATAATATGCTAAGTCTGAAAAGTGAGTTTTTCAGTATAAGCTTTCAAAGTATGGAAGTTTCTTTAATTGTACGTGCCATGCTAAGTACATTTTTGCTTATAACTTTGGTTTGGATTGGCCGATGATTACCAAAATTTCAGTGAATTTAAATTAAGGACCGTAGTATCTAAAAACGTAAAGAACTTTAAAACATGCTAAGTCGACTTAGCATAATATGGTTCGGACTCGTCGATATGTAGAATATACCCAAAGTGGTGAAGGCTATCATATAGTCGGCCCAGTCCGACTTTACTGCTTTCCTTACTCGTTAAAGGTTGACATAAATCTGCACAGAAAATGAACATTATATGTCAATGTTTTACATAGCTCCATATAAAGGTTCCATCCAATTTCGGTATTTTTTAGTCGCATTTTCCAAACGAAATGGCTGTAATGTGCATCTAGGTTCTTTGTAAAGGAAATACTTCGCCCAAGAAAATGCCGGTTACTGTACCCTATGTTAAAGTTCCTAGCAAAGTTGTTCAACAATAGCGTGTTTAATTGCGTATTTCAGTTTCTAAGAGTATAAACAATCTATTGTCTGACAATTTTCAATGTCATCGTCCCGAATTTTTATAGAAATGTTCAATGTTAGTGGATGGTATAATAATTTTGCATGGTTCGTTTTTACTTGTATTTTTCTGGTAATTTTATATGTATACAATGGACTCTAAATAAATCAAAGCATACTTTTAGGCGACTATTTAAATAATTTTTTATTTAGCGTTTGGCTGAGTAAACAATGTGGCAACGCAGGTAAATTAGCAGAATCTTTCAGGGACCGTAACGGTTATAAGTAATATCGAATCAGTTATTCTGTGGCCTAAATTAAAAAACGAAATAGTTTTTAGTATATATTTTTTAACGGAAAAATAAACGTTGATTTTTAACAGTTAAAAATTATTGTTATTTTTTATGTTAAAAATAAAACATATTTAAGTAGTATTATTTTTTTTTTGTCAAAAATAAAACTCCTTTTGGGATTACGTAAAATGAGTTTTATTTTTGACGGAAAAATAGCAATCCCTAAAAGAGTTTTATTTTCTGACTGGAAAAATAAAATACTGAAATGATTTTCACTTTTAACGGAAAGAAATAACACTCCTCAAATGACTTTTATATTTAACAGAGAATATGCATACAAGCCATTCTTTTTCCTGTCCATGTACAATTTTAAACCAAGTACAAGTCGAATTTATGATCTGCATGAGATGAAATTTGGCGCAGTCAACCGATTAAGTCGCAGTCAACCGATTATAGCGTAAAAAATTCAGTCTAGAATATATTTTCGATCGATTTTTTGTAAATAATCCTATAATTGTTAAATTTACACGAAATATTGAACAGCATACCGAATTGAATCTAAAATTATGCGTGCTAAATTTCGTTGAAATCGTTTCAGATTGCATAGCACACTGAAATTTTAGTCTAAATCGGCAAATGACTAAGTTCGCCCAGTTTGACGAAATTTAGCTGGGAGTACTGAAGTAAGTCTACAGTCTAGAGTTAATGGGTGTCTTTAATATTTTCTTCTACAGATTAAAAAAATGCGTGGTCTGCAATTTTCGACGCCATATGATATTGTTTGAGCGCATAAAAATAATGCAATTTTTCATGATAAATATTTAGCTCTTCAGTTTAAGGCATTCGAGAACATATTCTGCATAGGCCCATGTAAAGGTCCCAAAATTATAGTTGGGTAGTTTCATTCGTTCTCGTTCGTTTTATAGATGCTGCCACATTGTTAAAACTATTTACATAAATCCACGTCCATTTATTATGAAAATAATAAAATTATTTTTGAAAAATAAAGTAGAAAACGAAATAAGAAATATTTTGTTGAATATTCTGAAATAGAATATTCTATATATATATATATATACATATATAAATGAATTGCTGTTCGTTAGTCTCGCTAAAACTCTGGAACGGCTGAACGGATTTTTCTTATCTTAGTCTTGAAATGTTCGTAGAGCTTCAGGGAAGGTTTAAAAGGTGAGAAAAAATCGAATAAATGCCGGGAAATCTCTAAAAAGCTGACTTTTATATTTCTTATACAAATGTTTTCTAAATAAAATGTAGACTCATACGTTCAATTTGCTTTTTTTGTCAGAATTTTTTTTAAGTTTGATAAATTTTAAATTTTGTCACAAATGAAGTTTCTGAAAGGATTAATTTTCGATTACCGGTACGTGCGCGAGAACTTTCTTTACTTTTGTGATCCTTTGATAGTGATCCTGTGATAGAATGCATGTATATTTTGGGACTAATGCAAGGATGGAAAATCAGAAGAGATTCTGAATCGAGTTCGTGTCCATTCAGGGTATTCTGATTCTAAGATCCATGCCCTTGATTAATTTGTTTGAAAATAATAACAATAGGAACATGTTGTTCCTTAAAGTACCTGAACCAAAAATGTTTATCACAGTGTAATATACGAGATATCTTCTTTGCAAAAATCTATCAGTAAGCTCAGCTGGAAAGAGAACAACAAACAAAAAACCAGCAATT